CTCGGAATAATCTTCAGACGTCATTTTCTCGTGAGGTGAGACTAAGCCCACTTGGTACTGCGGCCGCCCTTTGGCCTATTGTACTAGCCCTAGATGATGATGACTGTGGAGCAATCGGTGGAATGCAAATTGGCAGGGGAAACCGAAGTACTCAGAGAAAACCCTGCCTCAGTGCCACTTTGTCCACCATAAATCCCATATGATCTGATCCGGGCTCGAACTCATGCCTCCGGAGTGGGAAGTCGACGACTAACTACCTGAGATATGGTAAGGCCTTCACCGTAAAAAGATACAGCCAATACTACAAAAAATACTTTACACGTATTCTACCATTAGAAATCGAGACGAAGCTGAAACATTAATGTAATTAAAATAAAATACGTCGGTTAAAATAATTTGCTAGTATTAGCTAAAATTTAATTAAAATCTTGTTGAGAAAGTACATGAACATACTGAAGGCCGGATTCTTTCATTGCTGGTACGGAGAATATCGCTGTGTGGCCGTACGTCCGTGTGCAAATACAATACATGAATTGTTCACTCGTTTTTTTTTTACTCGGAACTTATTAATAAAGAGTGATTACTGACTACCGTCTCTGCAGGTAGCATCTGACTCCCTCCATAAATTTCTCGTTGTTTTGTAGTCGTAAAAAATGAGTAACGTCAGGAACACAAAGTAAGTTCCTATCTAAGGGCCGCGCCATAGCTCAAGCGGTTAGTCGCTGGCTTCCCACCGCGGCACCCCGGGTCTGGTCAAGTGGGATTTGTGGTGGACAAAGTGGAGCTTGGGCAGGGTTTTTTTCCGAGTACTTCGGTTTCCCCTGCCAATCTTCTTTCCACCAATTGTTCCACAATCACCCTCACCTATCATCCGGGGCTGGCACAATAGGGCAGAAGCCCCAGTGCAAGGGACTTAGTCCCACCCAACTAGCAATAAAAAAAAGGTTTTGTTTCAGCAATTTGAGAGGTTGCAATATTGGTATTAATGACGGGCTAAATTCAATATTTGTCGTTGAAATGATTTCATGTGGCATGATATACTTGCCAAGTTTCATGAAGATTGCTACAGGCGTCCAAGTTGCGTCAGAATTTTGAGGGGCTGTAATATTTGGTGTTACTGAAGGGTGGGGTTAATAAATTACGCTCTTCAGATTGGCTCAAATGTCCTGATATACATACCAGGTTTCATAAAGACTGGTTAAACAAATAAAAAATTAATAGAGTGATACACAGACAGATAGCAAAATGATCTCGTAAGCTTAATTTTATTTTTCAAAATGAGGAAAGTAAGCTAAAATATGTAAAATAGTCGTAATTATTGTTAAGTTCAACAGGTAGAACGGTTAGAAATAGGAATTTTGTTATAATTGCAAGTTTCCTTCTACATTTTTATTACACTTCGCCAGAATTATTTCAGAAATAATTTACCATTTAAAATTCATTTTTATTTTCAGCTCTATGGAAGTTTAAGCGAGTTTCTAATTGTTCATACTTTACTATCTTCTGGGATATAAGGGAATATATTCTGTTGAAAATCAACCTCGGTTGCGTTAAGAACGGATATTTTACTATCTTCTGGGATATAAGGGAATATATTCTGTTGAAAATCAACCTCGGTTGCGTTAAGAACGGATATTTTACTATCTTCTGGGATATAAGGGAATATATTCTGTTGAAAATCAATCTTGGTTGCCTTAACAACGGATTACACGGTATCATATACCAGGAGACTGAACTCTTCATAACCGCTGCTATGGGAACCTGAAATCCTATATAAAATATTTTATTTGCATTTTTAATTAATATGCAGTATGGATTTTGTAAACCTCATCATAACTCTCGTAATTTTGTAATTTCTTCGACGAATCTAATAACTTTTGCTTGCTTAAAAAGGGGTCTTTCACGTACAAAGTCTCACAAAAATCGTCGGTATGTTTTTGATATATATTTCTTATAATATATGTATTCGATTTGTATGTATCTCACGGCCTCACTGGAGTAAACTTAATAGTACACATATTATACACATGTCTTTAAGTGTCATTTTCAAGGTTATTGTTTGGAAAGACTAGGACAGTAATAGATTTCACGCCATCATGTGGAGACAATATATCATTCTGACCACGTCATGCTAAAAAACATATGTTCTATTAGCTGCCAAGAGAAAGAAACAAATGCACATTGTAAGAGGTTTGATATAACAGCGTCAAGTTTAAATATTAAACGAGTAGGCTTGATCGGTCTCTTAAACCCAGCCCCTTTCAAAACATAACCATCCCTAAAAAAATCACAAACAATAATTTTGCTATTTTGACCAATAGCAACTTAGTTTTCCCAATTCGAGCAACCGAAGAAGGAGGTGACATCTCGGATATACTGAACGCTGATTGGTTGTTTAGTACCGAGACAACTTTCTTGTAGGCATGTACTTATAAATGCATGCATGTGTGGGCTTCGAACTCAAGTGAATACATAATTCATTTGCTGTCCTCGTCCTCCGCAGCCTTCCTACCCCCCTTCAACAAGATCAAGCATCTGGAACGACATCTGGTGTGAACTGCAGTGATGGAAATGACAGATGGACTCTAGATTCTAGAAGTGTGAACAAATCCTACTAAATTCCTTATACAAGAGAGGAGTATGGGAAGACGAAGAGAATGGTTCGAATAAAGGACTTCTTTGGAGGATAAAATATTTTCTTTAAATGAGATACAAGCCAGTAAAAGTAAGCAGAACAAACAGCGTCCGTCTAATTAAACAGAATTAAACAATTCTTCCAGGATTTGAGATTTTCACAGCTGTGGTTACGAACAGTTCCATTTTCTGGCATATACCGCCGTGCAGTCCGTTCATGTTCAACGGACTACATGGCGGGTAGACTCAAGGGACATGTGTATTGGAAATAAAATATCTGTTCCATTTTCTCTACAATCTCTGGTCGAAATATATTTGTCTGACAAATATACAGCGAGTTACACTCGAAACGAGAGGACAAACGTATGCAGGTCTTCATGTAAAGGACTCGTTACATGTGTCATTTTAACGAAACTGAAACGGGTTGATACATATTACGTACTAATAATCACCAATATCAAAGTTGTTACATTCGGAGAAACGGACGAAAGGTAGAAAAACATAGCGAAATAGCAGCAGTACTTCTGCAAATATTCGTTGCGAATGCGCCGTGAAACAATCGGTACAAAAGACTGGCACGAGGAAATGGTGTGGAACATAGATATGAAAGTCTGCAAATATTCATTTCCAATATTTTTGATATATTGATCATTCAACAAAATATAAGGAATATTAATTTAAGGCTCTAAGTAGTGTGACATACTTCGTATCGCTTAACTTTTATGTGACATAATAGATTTGTAGTTTTGATAAACGGAAACCTGAGGTGTCATAAAGAAAATAGTTATACAAATAGTTACTGTATTCCGATGTATTATAGCACTGTTTTAGTTAAACATATTCCATAGTAACCGCGTGAATGGGGGTCTTTTAACTTATTTGTCTTTCAACAACCCAATTGCTTCAGGTATAAATAAAACATAGGTCCAACTAACTAACTTCCTAACTCCATGGAGCTGAGTCCTTCTTGAGAAGCTGCCAGTCTATTAGCTATTCAAGTATTTCCGTACCTTTTATGGGACCAGAATGTTCATTACCGTGTTCACAATAGCCATCTACTGACCCCTATTCCGAGACACGTGAACTCAGCCCATACCACCCTATTCTACATCTCTGACAACCACCATTAATGTATTCTGCCACCTAAGATTAGGTCTTCTTGTGTTCTTTTACCTTCTGGTTTTACTACCAAAATCCTATATGCATCCTTCTTCGCCTCTATACGTGCTACATGCCCTGCAATCTCGTCCTCCTTGACTTGATCACTCTAATTATATATGGAGGATAGAACAAATATGAAGCTCCTCATTATGTAGTTTTCTCCATCTCATATCAATTCATCCCTCTTCCGCATACGCCTTCATGGCACAGCGCTTCATTACAGAATCAAGTACAGGAATAATTTTACCTTCAAATGATAGCATCGTTAAACATACACTCCGTGGCCTGCAGTCCGCAAGTGAACTATACCGACCGAGCAACCGCCGCTTGTCGGCGAAGTTAGTGCCTAATTTAGCGTATAGATGGTGTCGCGTGGTCAGAGCAACGGATCCCCACGGCCGTTAGTAAAAGGTAAAGTTATTCTTGTAACAGGCCATGGAGGCCCATAGGGTTGTGAGTTATTGAGGCTCGCACAACTTCTGAACAAGCGGCTCACAGATACAAGGTGTTACGTATCATGAGACAGTAGTTTTCAAATATATCAGCCTGAAATACAACACTGGACGAAGTTTGAGACACAAAACAAATATCTGGAAAAGAGTATCATCCAGAGGGAAACTAGCTATGAACTTAGAACATATCACGGATTTGCACAAAGATACAGACAGATTAAAGAAAAAACATTAACCACAGAAAACCCTGATGAAGGAAGATAACGGTGTACTCTTTCCCGATTTCCTTACTGTTGTAGAGGATAACAAAAATGTACATATTTTAGTGAGGAGCACGCGGTAGGGCAGTATGCTACAAGCAGGAAAGTCACGGGTTCGATTCCCGTGGTCACTGGATTTCTTCAATTGACCTAATCCCATCAGCCGCATTATAGCCCTGGGGTCGATTCAATCTCTAACAGAAATGAGAATAAGGAATCTTCCTGGGGGTAAAGTGCGACCGGTCGGCACGTAAGACTGAAGAATTCACTGCCATCTATGAGCCGACTGTCTAAACAATTTGGGAGCCTCGACGTCTCACAACCCTATACGTCTCCACGGCCTGTTACAGGGATAGTTTTACCTTTTTTTTTAATGAATAAAATTTAAGGTTCATGGATCAGTCCCATTCACCTCACATTCTCAGAGTACATTGCTAAAAGATCAATGTTAACATTATCTTGAAAGTGACCATTTTCAAAGAGGTTTACTTACCAAAATTCTGTATGCATGCTGCTTCACTCCCGTTCTAGCTATATGTCATAGCATCACAGTAAAGTGCCCAGGCCTGCAACAAAAAATGTAGGGAATCTGATCTGTCAGCAGGTAAAGAATTTTCCTTCCCCATTATGGCTATAGGGGAGAATTCTAACACAGCATGTTTCGGTTACTTTGGAAAGAATCTTTCAATCAAAATCTTGTTTACTCCCTGCAAAGGGCATTTGAAATATTTAACCTCACGAAACGTTCTCATTTGTGAAACAGTGTTCACATTTCTACCACCTTTAAACACGTGGCTGGAGAAGAAAAGGCACGCCAACGAATTCATTTCCTATTGTCTTGCTGTGTTGTGAGAAATAAAAAACAAACATAGACCCGTCTTTTTGTTAGTAATTGCGTGATAGAATATCCCAACAAAAAGAATTGTGAGAAATTGGGCGGAAAATCCTGATTTTACATTGTACGAGTACTATGAAACGATAAATCATTCTTAGAGACTCAGACGTTTTGATGCACCGTCACTGTATATTGCGCCGGAGGCGGTCGTCAGGGTTCGGTAGTGATTGAGAAAACCCACAGGATACTGTCGGGTAGTTACCGTGAAGACACTTCAAATAAGTCACAGTAATTTGACATGTAGGATGAAGATTTTGGAATTTACACACTTCATAAAAATATTCAGGGGCACGCGGTAGCGTAATTGGTTGAGGCACTATGCTACAAGCCGGAAGATCGCGGGTTCGAGTACAAACGAGGTGGATTTATTTTTCAATTTACCTAATCCTTCCAGCCGCACTATAGCCCTGGGGTCGACTCAACCTCTAACAGAAATCAGTACAAGGAATCTTCGTGGGGGTAAAGAGAGGCCGGCGAGTAAGACTGATAATTTTTCCGCCATCTCTGAACCGATTTTCTAGAGAAAATGTGGATAGACTCAACTTCTCTCTCACAACCCTATGGACCTTCAAGGCATGTTGTAGGGACATCTCTACCTTTTTCATAACAATATTCAGGAAATTGTGGCAAATATATTGTAGCGTGTAGTACCGTTGGTATGCAACGATCGCGAGAAGGAACATGCATTGCTTCTTAACGGTCGGTAAACACGTCAAGAATAGCCGGACTTTCGCTAGGCAACCGCACAGATCAGCATTAAAAAAAAATGTTGGAAGCGGAGTTCTCTGTTAGGTTCGCCTCGAGGCTATATAACCAGGACCCCAGACCAGCTGAGAGAGTTAAGTTGTGTGACATTCGCCGGCGAGTAACGATGTGATCACAGAAGCTGAAGAATCATTGTTAAACTTCGTCGCCAGGAAACGACGAGTGAAAACAAATTGAGAGCACTTAGCATGGGCTCTAGATATTTTTAAAGCGTGAAAATAAACGACAGTTTTATAATTATTTGTAGTTACAAGTGATGTTCGTGTCTAAGTGTTCAATAAATCCATTCACCAATCAAAACCCCGTCTACAGTCATGTATACACGGTCATATTTTCAAAGTATGACAGTTTATGAAGAAAGCAGTCTTCTGGGATTTGGCACCTTGTATATGTGGTGTTAACCGACGTTTCGGAGGAACGTATCGCCTCTATCTTCAGGGTAGAAGAAAATTTTTTTCTACNACTAAACATCAAACGCCCGTCACACGCAAGAAAACATTTTTCTTCATATTACTTCAATATCTTATAGAATATCAACTTGGCAGTTCAGTGGCTTCGATACCTTTATAAAGAGAGGCATACCTGCTTCTAATGGAATATAATACTTCTTTCTCACTTGTTTTCTTTCTTTCACACCTGACTGCTTGTTTCCAAGAGTCACATTAAGACAGCAGACGTAATTACATTATACCTGAAAATGTAAACCTGTTACTACTGAAAAAGAGAATCCTTCATAATGCCTTCATTGTTTTCTGAGCAATAATATTGTTAATGTTAATGTGGTTGTTCCATTGATAAAATGCATAATGGGAGAACAGCAGACCGCGATGGGCTGAGGACGAGTAAACACGTCTAGACAGAGAAGTAAGTGTTCAGCGTTAGGACAACTGTTATGAGACAGAGGAATATATATGAATGGCTGAAAAAAATTGAAAGTAGACCTAGTTAGTTAGTTAGTTATTTAGAGAGGGTGGGTTTCCCCATGCACCGCGACCAGTTTGATCTATTGTGCTTCCCTCTATGATATTCTACCAGTCTCTATACCCTACCGATAAATGGTGCTTACCATCAGTCCCGCCCATGCATCGAGACCGGCTCTACTAGCTGAGAGGTATCTATAATGCTTCCCCCATCTACCAGAGGTATTAGAGACTGCTGTTGGGCGGGAAACGTCAGTAATTTTGGCTCAGTGACCTCCTTTGGAGATACGAGGTTCCAAGAATGTAGCTGATGAGCGTTGGGTGCAGTCATTGGCTGTAAAATGTTTTGCTATTAATGATCAGACGATCAGAGTATTGGGGACAACCGAAGAAACGTCACTGGTAAAACCTGCATCTGAAATCGGCATCAATCTCGGAAAACAGTGGAATAAGAGCGACATAAGGCTCAACCAAAACATTATATCCTGATGGAATCAGGAAACCCATTAACCGTTTGGCAAAATTCATTAAAGTGCAGGACAATCACTTAAAGAATATGATCCAGGTTGAGGTTCTCTTACCCGTGATTGTGAAGAGTATGATCTTCTCGTAAAGCGACGTAATTCGGGAAAAAATAGATGTTTCAGATCTTCTATCTTCAGGGAAAAATATTATGCCAATAAATCCCGCCTGTTTCTTAATGAATATATTTTGTATCCATAGTGTGCATATATTAACCGTCTTTTAGTGCATACAATCTCACTCATCACTTCACACTACATGTTTCGGCATCATTCTGCCATCCTCAGGTACATGTAACGTGAAGCGATGAGTGAGATTTTATGCACTAAAATACAACAAGAATATATTTTGGTTTACTTTTAAACGCTGAAGATAGATATGATATATTACTCCGAAAAAAATCAGGGTTTTCCAACCTACACGACGTTACGAGACAGAAAACAATTATTATAAAAGCTACAGCTAAATCCTGTGACAATGTCTTGTAAAAGTTCTAACATATTTTCTTCTAATTTTGTTTTAATTAGGCACATATAAATATTTGCAACTTTTATTTTCTACATACGAAATGTCGTGGCGGTTGTTTTATGCTGTTAGTGCCCCACCGACCTGCGAACATGACGCAGAATCTGTCACAGAGTCACAGAACACAAAGCAATATTCCCCAAAGGAAATCCAGCCTTACTTTGGCCGGTACAGCTCATTACAATGCCGCAGTAGCGGGCACACTCCAGACTCATAAACATAAAGGTAAAGTTAACCTGCATTAAATTAATTCAGCACCACGCCATACATGAGAGTTGAGGTGATTCTTCACCATTCTTAACCTCGGCACTAGATGGCACTAGTGAGTGGTCAGTTTTAAGCACCCACCTCCTTACCACCTCCACGGGAAGGGAATGAGAAAACCACACAAACCACCAGTCATCATAAACTGCGAGTTACGAAATTCGAACCAAATACCTCCCAGCGCTCTACCACTAATTAAACATTATGTCATGAAGACGTATGAGGGGCGTGGATGTATAGATCCATGTATTATTGATCCCGTCACTAGTTTGAGGTGAGTGGTCAGCTTCACGCCCTTGGACTGTTTACACCCGGAGGAAAAGCCCAAAGTACCGATTGTATAGGAGGCTGAGTGGACCCCAGAACCGTTCTGGACCGTGTAGAGAGGAGAAAATTCATGACCTTACAGGGACTCTTAGCCCACAGCCAGTCGCTCTACCGGCTACGCTATCCCAGCTCACTGAGCTAGCCTTATTCTGTATGCGAGAACTGAGGATCTCACGGAAGTGATCAAGAGTAGTACTCTTTTCTGGGGTGTAATGCCGTGTAGTTTTGTAGAATGTAGCTACCGTCTCAGAGGAACATTCTGCCTTTGCCTCTAGGGTATAAAGACGCTGAGACTTCTGCCCTGAAAATGGAAACAGCACGTTCATTCGAAACGTAAGTAACGAGCTTCTTCCTTGATGTAGTTATTACATTAAAGCAGAAAATTCGGTAATAACCTACCAGATTACACGGCATCACAACCCAGAAAACAATAATCTTTTCAACCTGGTCTTGTGCTTGCGTGTGTTCGTGTCTGGAGGTACCGTGCACGAGTTCGAAACCAAAGCTTCGCTTGCTAGTGGCAACATTTCACAAAATACTAAAAGCTCAGCTGTCAGGGGAACTTCTCCTGCAGGGGCCCTCGGGCCCAGTGTGCGGCACGGCAATTTATTTTGCCATTGTCCATTGTGTTTGCATCCATTCCATTCAATTTTATAGAACCCCTGGAAAACCCACGTATTTGTGTTCTATTATGTGCTGCTTGGTTGACAATATTTCAGTTTGCCTTTATGCCTGACTGACCAAGCCGCCGTTTATAGGTGAGGTGCAAAGGACAGTTGTTGCCATGGTAACACATTCCTTTCTTTGATGTTACTCCATGATCGCCTGTGTTACTTCTTTATTTGATAGCTTTCACCATGCATCTCTCTTGCTACGTCCACACGCACGCACATACACACATATACAAAGCTAACAATAAGATTATTATAGTTTCCTTGTATGTAACGCATAAACTGAACACATAATGTGGGGAAATTTTCTGGCAATGTTTCATCTCGGAAACTCATCAACGGATATGGATATACTCGTAATTTGGCATTTTTGGTTCAGTTCCAATTGCATCGGTCCAATGTAACGCCTACCCTACAGCCCAAATTCGAATTCAGACACAATTAATATTGTATTTAATATCAACACACACAAACCACTTAACATAACTAGCCTAACAGCTTGGAAAAACATGCCCCCAAAGGTGCATACATAAAAAAAACTGATAACACTACATCGATATCCTGGGGCATACGGTAGCGTACTTGGTTGAGGCACTATGCTATAAGCAGGAAGGCAGTGGATTTGAGGCCTCATGAGGTGGATTTTTCCAATTAAACAAATCATTTCAGCCTCATTA